AATCTAGTTCGAAGATAAATAATATTTTTTTACTATGTATTGATGTCCTTTCTATTCATGATGGAGGTATTGACAAACACTTAATATGAGTATATCTTTTAATAAGAATTTAAATTTTAGTTTGACATATAATTAGTTATTAATATTTTTTTTCTAAACCTAATTTCTGTTGGTAGATAGAGGATAAATCACATATAAAAAAACACGCATGTTTTAATTTAATTGGGAGCAAATAGCATAAGTATATAAAGTTAAGGGCATGACTTTTTTCCTAAACTTAATTGTGTGATTTTAATAATAAATCCGTAATTCTGGATTTGCTGAAATGATGCTAAAAGTTGCGGATGCAGGCATTGTTTTCTTGTGAACGCTAGTAAAAAAATCATTATATTTTAGGGTCACAAAGTCCAAAATATGCATCATTGACCATCAATATTATAGCTCAAAAGGAGAAAAAGGTTTAGAATTTGTTTGGACACATAGCCAACAAGGTGGCCCACTAATTTTGGAAGAAAGACAAAGGCAGTAATTCCAACGAAGACTCATTGTTTCCATCTCTTTTTACCTATTCAAGATAAAATGTGGAGGGAAATGACATAAAGTAACAACTTTGTTCATATTCATACGATATAATGTATTGCCAATTAAATTTGAATTTGAGAATCGTTACTCCAAATGTAAATGGCAAACAAATCTGCCGCCTATCTTATCATGGGAATTGCTGTAAGCATTATTGAGCCAAATTTATAATTTCAAAAAAGTGCAAGGGCATTTTTTTTCTTTCATCAATTCATGCAAGAATATATGGTATCTTAAACTTTTTTGTAGTATACAAGACTTCTCTTTAACAATTAAAAACGGTATAATGTTACTTCTATCATTAGCAAAATTAATTTTAATAGTTAATTGATTAAAAAATTATAGAAAATACTTAAAACACGATAAATTATAAATAAGTACCTTATAAAAATTAATATTAATTAAGTTCTCAAAATTATAAATAAATACCAAGAGGTAAATGTTATTTCTTACCTTTGTCAAAAAAAATGTTATTTCTTACCACGAAATAAACCAAAATATAATTTTCACTAACCACTTTGGCTAATAGATGATTACTGGATCATCATTGTTGGCAGTGATATCAATAATTAATTAAAAATTAATATATTTTTTTAATAATATTTTTATTAAATATTAACACTTTAATATTTAACAATTTTTACCATTGTTATTGCCAGTAATAATAATCCAATAATCACCAATAGTTTGTCAAAGTGATTGATCAAACTAATATTTTAGTATTTTAAATGGGTAAAAAATAATATTAGTATCTTGAAATTTATTTGTAATTTAAGGGACGTAATTGATTTTAATTTTCTTATAAGGCCCTTTAATATAATTTTTAATATTATTTTCTGTAATTTTCGGTTAGGAAAAACTTGTACTGTTTTTGAATAATGTTGAAAGGGGACATTGAACCTTGAAAAAATTTAACATTCCATGACGTTCTTGCATGAATAGTTGATGGACAATCTATAGTGTTTAACCCTTACATAAACATCTATTTGTCCACTTCCTCTTTTAGAAAGTTGCAGGGAAATTAAAATCAATAATTTGGGTAGGTTGAGCTTATGTGAATTAGTCTCAATTTGTTCTGAGCTTAAAGTACCTAAACATATAAAAAAAAAAACTTATGCATATAGTCAAGCTTGATCCCAACACATTAGCCTATTGGGCTAACTTAAGTGCCCAAGTTCTTAAATATTATTTTATTTTTTAACCAATATCAATTTTTATCTTAAAAAATTAGGATTTCAATTTTATCTCATTTGACTTTTATTTATTAATAAAAAAATTATGGTATTTGGCCTTATTCTAGTGGCCTAAATAAGCTCAAAATGAAAAATATTTTTCAAACTCTCAAACTTAACCTTAAAATTTTTTGAACTTATTTAAATTAACCCGTCAGGTTTAGTCTAAATTATCGGTGGGAAGGGAAACAATGTGATATTTAGAAGCTTACAGATAGATCACTTGTAGTCATGAATAATCTCCTCTTCACATATTTCTCCTTGTCTAGTTAACCCAGAAATTAAACTTTCGAGTTCAGTAAAAAACATTAGTTCCTCACAATTAACATGGTGAACAAATAGAATTATCTTTAATTAAACTGTGAGAATGATTCAACTAATGAACAGTCTAACAAAAAACTGTCAGATAGGTCATTTCATATATTAATTAGGACTTAGTGACGCTTTTTAACTCACCCATGCTAAAATATGTTTTCGCAACGCATTCAGTAATTCGCCCCCACCCAAAAAAAAGGGTGGCTTGGCCGAAGCTTTTTGGTAAAAAGGATGTTTGTTGTTCAAATATTTCAGAAGTTTTGACATTCTTTTCGATGCTTTTCTGCTTTTCTCTTTTCACAATGAAACTATTACTTAATTGATTGACTGAAAAATGAGTTATATTTCCATATATTCAAAAAAAATAAATGAGTTATATTGTTTATTATGATGTAAATAACTTAGTGCAACTTTTATCAATTGTGTTATGCTGTTATTGATTTTCATGAAATTTATATTAATATCGATGATATTTCATTAATTGTTTTACAAAGGAAATATGTTGTTTATCACAAAAGGGCCTGCCATCTTCATGGTAGACCATCCTTCCAAAGCAAGTAATGATTGTTTTTCAAAAGCAAGATAATTTAACATGTTCATAATACTGAGCTGGAAAATTTAACGAATCTTTTTGTTGTGCTTTTGCTGTGGTTATCGATGTTTGGATGGACATGTCACAACAGTAATTTAAATAATAATTTGTATGGGACCGTTGTTATCAACAACAGTTGATGCTAAGAGATGCCTTTTACATTTTTATTTAACTGACTCAATATGTCAAGGCACAAACTCAAACTTTAGAGTAAGATAATTTAACTTTTTTGATCAGTTAAATCAATCATATGTCAATAATGTTTTAAAAGTGTCTTAAATATAAAACATGTTCTTCCAAAAGAATTAACTTATTCAATTATATTGAAAAATATTTGAAATCAAATCCAAATATCCATCAAATATTTTATACATGGTTTGTAATATAAAATAAAACACACATATTCCTATCTTGAGCATCTATTAATTTAAAAGTATAAAAAAATTAAAAAAAAGTTACACTGAAATGACACAAATTTTTTATAGGGGAACAATATTCCCCAAATCTAAAATTTATTGTTTAGTCCTCTAACTAATGTATGCTTTTCCTAATGGACCGCAGCTAAATGTTTATACACACACACACATATTGGTTTTGTAATTTTTGATAGTGTTCATGCCTTTTGATTATGTCCGCGTTATAGGAAAAGAAAAGTACATAGAGAGAAATTTAATCATACAAATTATTTTTTTAATAATGTATGTACTCCCTCCATTTAAAAATATAAGATATTTTTTGATGAGTTAGATATTAAAAAATATAAAATATTTTTAGTCTTTCGAGATATAATTGTTATCTTCTTTTCAAAAGTTACTATATTAATAATAACTTTATATTTATTGTAGGGTATTTAATAAAAATAAATATAAAAAAAATAATGTTAGTTTAAAGATAGGTAACTACTTTATTAAAATAAAATTTAATTAAAATATATTATATTTTTTAATAAAGAGAATATAATATATATTTATGTTACCATTCAAATTCAATATTTGATTGTGGGATCCAACTAGAAGGTGGTAAGAGACAAAAGCGAACGTTAAAAAAATGTTTTGAAATCTTGCAATCCATCTTTCAGTAAAAATTTTTAATTAAAATATAATTGTTATTACATTAATGTCTTAAGACTTCGAGTCATTGCCCCAACCTTTTTATTGCTTTCTAAATTTTATAGAATGAATAATATAAAAGACCAATAAAATTTGTGGAAAATACTTTAAAAAGGATAAAATATATAACGTTAAACGAGGCTTCTTTAATTCACAAAATATATTGTTTATGAAATCCGATAGACACATAATCTCTCCTTTTCGACAAACACGAAGAAGCTATTTCAACTTTTGGACTTCTGGTATGACCCTTTACCACTTTTTCCATTCTGTGGAGGAAAATATAGTAACAAGGGATATTGTTGTTACATACATTTGGAATCTTGCCTACTTTAGAATTTTTTTTATAAAAATAATGTACATGTAGAAAACATATAAAATGGACGTGTTACTTTTATTACATTGAAAAATTTTGAACACTAAACCTCAGCTATTATAATGATCCCTTTAATTTGGGCTTTAAAATGGACATGTTATAATTTTTTTATATAAAAATTAACTATTAAAGATCCATTTCTGTTTACTTTTTTTTTAAAAAAAAACATATAGTAACTACTTCCCCGCCACTATTGTATCACGATCTAATTGTTAATATCTCTTAATTAAGCTTCAATGGGGGGATTAAAATCCAATTTTGAATAGTTAAGGAGAGCAATATTTTTAAAATAGAGAGAATACAGGTACATTGAAAACAAAAACTCTTAATTTCTTTGATTTAAAATATTTTTATCAATAAATGTGACGAGCACTTATAACAGTTGATACTCCTCACAAAAATTATTTTCCAAGTTTGAATAGTTAAACAGAGAAATATTTTTAAAATAGAGAAAATACATGTACATTAAAAACAAAAACTCTTAATTTCTTTGATTTAAAATATTTTTATCAATAAATCTGATGAGCACTTATAATAATTGATACTCCTCACAAAAATGATTGTTTTTTAAATGAGATCTAAGCGGATGAAATTTATTTATTTTTAATTTGAATCACTATTTTTAAACTGATATATAGAAAACATTTATGTTTTATATTTAATTATTGGTAGAATAAGTTATTTAAAATTTAAAAATAAATGAAATAAGATATCAGCCACCCAATTCTATCACGGACCTGAGCTCATTATATATAGATGATATATATTAGCATCCGATGCATTGCATTACAGTTTCCAGACACCATGACGGCTTTCTTCTTCGTCGCTCCTCTCACTCTTCTTTTTACCTTCTTTCTGCAACTCACTCATGCCACAAAAATGGTTAGAACACTTTGCTTCTGCACACACACACACACACACACACACACACGTATAATCATCACCTTTATCATTTGCTTGTATCAGCTTTTTGAACTGGCTGGCCATAATATATAATCTGTATTTTTTTTTTTTGTTTTACAGTCGCATGTTGTATACTTGGGATCACATTCTCATGGTCCAGAACCTTCTTCTACTGATATGGACTTTGCTACAAATTCTCATCATGATTTGCTCGCTTCTGTCATGGGAAGGTGTTGAATCATTTTAATCTGAGCCCTGATTTTGTGTTTTGTGTGCGCGCGCGCGTGTCAGCATCTCCTGACTAATTTCGAGAGCAAGAATCTAATTAAAATGACAATTCATTAACGTTAATATATGTTATGTTTGATGACAGCCATGAGAAGGCCAGAGAAGCTTTGATTTACTCTTACAACAAACATATCAATGGCTTTGCGGCATCGCTTGAAGAAAAAGAAGCACAAGAGCTCAAAAGTGAGATTATTATTTTGGAAAAATTACAATCAAGTCCCAATAAAGAATTTTTTTATTTTTCAATTTATTTACAAGTGATTTGCCATGAGCACAAGTCTAAATTAAAGTGAGAGTTCAGCCTTTTACCGGTCAAGAATCCTTCATAGGTAGTCTTTTTCAAGACACTAGACTCTTATTAAAAGCACCAATACGAGTATAAAAAAAAAAATCATTTCAAAACATTAACTTATTGAGTGAAAAAATTTCTTATATTTATAAATCCTATTCTATTTGTGAAATTCCTGAGACTCATGACATGGTTGGAACTTGTAAATAATTAATTTTCTCATATGGGATTAATATATAATTCTCCCAATTATTTTCCCTTCATTATCGTTAAATATTTACGGCTTTAAAAATGTTTCCCATTGCAGAAAAGCCAAATGTGGTGTCTGTGTTCTCCACCAAAGTGCATAAATTGCACACAACCAGGTCCTATGAATTTCTGGGACTTGAGAAAAATATAAGAGTTAGAGGCCAATCTGCTTGGATTAAGGCAAGATTTGGTCAGAATACGATCATCGCAAACATTGATACAGGTAATTAATTATTTAATAAATTTAAGTATTAAATGCTCTATCGTTTGTCTGCTTAATTATTTGATAAGACTATATATGTTGTCTTCTAATGAATAGGTGTTTGGCCTGAATCAAAAAGCTTTAACGACAAAGGATATGGTCCCGTCCCAGCAAAGTGGCGTGGAAATGGGACCTGTGAGATTGACAGGTTACCAGGCTCAAAGAGAAGCCCCTGTAACAGGTCTTTCTATATATTTTGTCTTTTTCTTTCATTATATAGAGCTATCATTTTCATTGATTCATGTTTATCTACACTTTTTATTTAAAAAGTTATTCTTAATAAATTTATATGATGAGCATGTTTGGCATGTCAATTGGCGCATGCATTTGCCTCTCTAAAGAAATGATAATTCCTCGTGTACATTGAAGGTATTGATCCAAGGGTGATGCTCTCAATGTCAAGAGTGACTAGGGCTATAGTTTCAATTGAGTCACTACACAAACATAACCTTCCGACTTTGTTAAGGTGCTAGGTGGAAAGCCTAGTCTCCTGATAAAACCCTAATCTAGCTTCCATTTTCATATAGTCTTGAGGAAAAGTGGGGATGGGGGGAGAGAGAGTTGAGAGATGTGTGGCCTTATGTAATGATCATATAAGATTACAAATTGGTATGGCATCTATATTGATAAGAACATGGTAGAAAATTGTTAGTTTTGTCATGTGCAAAAAATGTCATTGCAGGTGCTTGTAAGAAACTGTGAGCAAATAGTTTTAAACGTTGTGAAAAAAGATAGAAGAAAACTAAAAGGACATTTAAAGAAGTGGTCAATTGAGATCTCTTAGTTAATTGATTTTTATGAGGATAATTAGTTTCAGACAAATGACATCATAATAGGATCCATATAGGCAACCTCATGATAAGCAGGCTTGTTATTGTTGCTACTGCCACAGCACTTTAAGATTTATTGGCGTTGTTGCTTATAAAGTGGTCCTCAATGAGAATAATAATGACACCAGTCTTTATTATTGTTGCGGTAATTTACAATTGAAAAGAAAATAAAAAAGAAATTAGTATGCACATCGAGTCACCGACACTTATTTTATCGGGGTTTTTTTCCCAAGCACGATAGAGTTGGTAGGGTCAAATTCCAAAGATGAGTAAACTCTTCTTTATCATATTAAATAATGAAATTTAATCACCAACATTAAAGATTATTTACATCACATCACTAATCTATGAAACTTTTTTAAAAAGTTGATTTAAAAGCCGTACTAACAATGGCGGAGCGTGAGGGGGACAAATGCACCCCTCACATGGAGGAAATTACATAGGTGGCATGCAAAACAACTCTAAACTTATCAAAAAAAAAATATTTGAGTTCAAAATCTTCTTAAATAAATGATATTTTAATTCATATTTCATAAATTTAAATCAAAAATTTATACTCATTAGATATATTAAAAAATTAAATCAAGAGTTGTTTATTTTATAATAAAATCCAAGCAAAACAAATTAAAGTGGTCCTTTTGGGTGATAGTTTTCTTTTTTCTTTTTCAAATTAAGCTCTATATCAATTTTCTCAACACATTTTTTTGCCCAAACAAATTCTTAGAATATTTTTTTCAAATAAAAATATGCATAATTTTACTTATTTTATTATATTTTTCTCTAATGTAATTATTTTTTAAAATTTTTATAATATTTTTTAAATTATTAATTTTTAAATTAAGTTGTCTAGCACCCCCACTCAAGATCTTGGCTTTGCCAGACACTGCCAAAAATAAATAAAATAAAATAAATAGTAGCTGACACATAGGTAACCATGAAAGCGATAAAATATTGTATCGTCTTCTTATAGCTTAGCAGAGATTTGTATGTACCGTATAACATTACGAAGTCGAATCAGGAAGCTGATAGGAGCAAGAGTGTTCTACAAAGGATACGAAGCACACGAGGGCACGGTGATTAAGTCGCCTCACAGCGCGCGTGACATCGTAGGGCATGGTACTCATACCCTATCGACGGCGGCCGGCAACTTCGTCCGAGGAGCTAGCGTCCTTAACAACGGTGATGGCACGGCGAAGGGTGGGTCCCCCAGAGCTCGAGTGGTGGCCTACAAGGCATGTTGGTCTCCGACAGACGCATCAGGATGCAACGAGGCGGATTTGCTGGCTGCATTCGATCAAGCCATAAACGACGGCGTCGAAGTCCTGTTTGTTTCGGCCGGAGGACAACGCCACTTCGCCGAGGATTTGTTAACGGACGGGATTTCAATCGGAGCCTACCATGCAACGGCCAAGGGCATAGTGGTAATTTCTTCTGCGGGTAATGAAGGACCTGACCCTGGAACTGTAAAAAATGTTGCACCTTGGGTCTTCACTGTTGCTGCTAGCACCATTGATCGAGACTTCAATGATAATGTTACTCTCGGTAACAACCAAAGCATTAAGGTCAGTGTGTGTATGTGTGCTGTGAGTTGGGCATTTAAAATGTGACTTGATTATAATTAATTTATGATTTCTTTTTAATTTCTATTCTGTTTAGGTTGATAGATTACATTTTTTGTAATTATTGTAAATTGATTTGATATTTATTAGGACACATCATTATTTTGTTCTATATAAACACGGCAGAATCTCCTTCTCTTTTCTTTGGATCTTTCTAGAATATTCTTTTTTCAAGCATGCTTATTTTCTTTTATGGTCATTGTATCAAAATTTGGATCAACTTACCCCAGTTGAATTAGGCCAGTATACAATTGCACTAGTATCTTGATCAAGCTAATAAAATATTTTGTTTTTGACTGGTTTGATAATGATTTGATTATAATTTTAATTATTAAATTTTGAACTAATATCTTGATCAATTCAACAATTAATTCAACTTTTAGTATCTTGTTTATGGTATGAGAGCAATTTAATCAAGTCCCTCCCTCTTTTTTTTTGTTTTGTTTTTTTTTTTTTTTTTTTGCTTTCAATATTTCAATATCTTTCTCTTAATTTTAACCATTTCTCTGTTTGTTTTGATAGTTCACCTCGAAGTTCTGCTTAATGATTCGTTTACGCAAGAATCATTCCTAGTTTTTCTATTGTGTCCATAGCCATATGATTGATTATTTATATGAACTTGGCTTTGGAATATACCAGGCGACAGGTCTGTCGTCAGGACTGCCATCTGATAAGTTCTATCCATTAATCCGAGGTCGTGATGCCAAGCTTCCTAATGTCACAGCTCAAGAAGCGTAAGATTAATATATATATATATATATACACACACACACACACCCACACATACAAACATTTCGAGGTTAATTAATTACGTTTTCTTTATCTGTTATAAAACATTGATTTATGATCTGATGAAACGAATGAACCATTATTGCAATGATTGTGAAGTGACCTATGCAATGCTGGAACACTAGATCCCAACAAAGTACGAGGCAAGATACTGATATGTCAACGAGGAAGGAGCCTAAGACCAGTTGACAAGGGTCAAAATGCTTTGCTTGCTGGTGCAGTGGCAATGATCTTAGAAAACGATGGAAAAAGTGGGGACACAGTTACTGCTGATCCTCAGGTCTTACCTGTGTCTGGTAATACCAATAAATCAGCTGGAACGGAAGGCACTGAATACTATGACATCACAAAGTAATTAATAATCTTTCACAGCATTATCCAAGTACTTGTTTACTTCCCGGGATCTTATTCGAGAAAGAATTTTTTGTTGTTTATTTAAAATTTATACCAACTAAATTTTGTCACAAATTTTTTTCTTTACCTTCTATTAAATATTAGCAAAATAAATAATATTATTAAAGCGTGCATGTTTAATAAGAATAAAATTAAAAATTTAATAAATTTTTAGATGAAGTATTAAGATTTTCTTTAATTTTATTGAAATATGTTAAAAATAATTTATAAATAAGATCAGAAAAAAATTATTGAGAATATGATTACTTATATATACTTATGTTTGTATATGTATTTATATTTTTTAAGGAACCCCGTTGCATCCATGGGCAAAGCAAAAACATTTCTGGGAATTCGACCGGCTCCAATAATGGCTTCATTCTCATCTAGGGGACCAAATGCCATTCAACCGTCACTTCTCAAGGTCTCTGCATTCTTCTACCACGTCATATCACGCGCGCGCGCGCGCGCGCATTCTTGATTATATATACAAATAATATTAGTCTTTGACTATTTTAATTCTTTTCAGCCTGACATTACTGCGCCTGGTTTGAACATACTTGCTTCTTATTCACTAGCCGCAAGTCCTAGTAATTTAGCATCAGATAAGCGTCGTTTTACGTTCAACATACTTTCTGGAACTTCAATGGCGTGCCCTCATGTGGCTGGCATTGTTGGTCTTCTCAAAACACGCCATCCTGATTGGAGTCCAGCAGCTATCAAATCAGCAATCATGACCACAGGTACATTTACATAAGATATCTATATATTTTTTTCAGAATCCTTGTGAATCAGGACCATTAAAGTATTTCTGAACGATAAAGCTAGACAGAGATATATAGAAAGAAAAGAGTGGATCTTGTCATGAACATAGGTCTAAATAGAAAACCCACCCTAAAAAATTAGCTTATTGGCAAAAACCCTTGCACCTGTAAATCCCACTCTGTTTGAAAGTCAATGTCCTTCCAGTTCACAACACTTCGCTTAACTAGAACCCTTCTGTGAGACTAACCTTACAATTAAAATACTAATATTATGAGCACAAATTAAAAAAAAAAGTCCATTCCAAAAAAACTAGTCCTGATAAGTAGGAGAGCTTCTCATACTTATAACTACCACTTCATTTATGATGCTCTTTAATGTAAGACTCGTAACGATCTTACTTATGCAGTATGAGTTTTGTAGAAAGGGAATTTGTGTGTTCCTTTCTTCCTTTTATTCTCTAATTTTATCATAAAGTAAATGCTTTTGTAAATTTTCTTGTGAATCTCCATAATATGCATATGTCATGTTTCTAACTTGAGTTCTAAACAACTGTTGAAAAACTATATGTGCCCTTTCATGCAGCGACCACTTTTGATAACACCAACAATTTGATTCGTGATGGTGTTAATGAAAAACCTGCGACTCCATTTGCTTATGGTTCGGGACATGTTCGACCAGACCTAGCACTAAATCCTGGACTTGTTTATGATCTGAGTGAATCAGATTACTTGAACTTCTTGTGTGGTTCTGGATATTCGGACTCATTAGTTGCATCCTTTAATTTCAACAAGATCTACAAATGTCCGAGGTCTTACAAGATAGAAGATTTCAACTATCCATCAATCTCAGTGTCTGTTTTGGAAGCAAAGCCTGTGACTGTAACTCGCACAGTTACAAATGTTGGGCGTGCAAGCACGTATAAGGCGACAGTGCAAGCACCAAAAGGAGTTAAGGTTGTTGTCCAGCCTGAGACTTTGAGTTTTAAGAAGACTGGTGAAAAGAAAAGATTTAAGGTCACTTTCCAAACGTCGAGGTTGTTTCAAAATGCAAGTTTTCCGTTTGGGGAGTTGTTATGGACAGATGGGAAGCACAGAGTTAGAAGTCCTATTGTTGTCTTACGCTCCGAGGAATAATGACTAATAAAGAACTTCAATCTTAGAAATATAGTATGATCTCTATTGTTTGTGAGGGACAGTGAAGTGTGAGCTTGTTTCTGGGTTTTATGTTGTCCCTGTGTGCGTTTTTCTATGACAATGATAATGTTTTGTCATTGTGTTTTTAAATGGGTTCACTTTACAGATTTGGTTTTTTTACATTCTTATTTGGTATTTTACTAATTAAATATGTTGAAGGCTTCAAGCAAGCCCAAAATCAATGTATCAATTTGGCCCTAAAAAAAATTCAATGTATCGATAAAATTTACACAAGTGATATTGTTGATAAACTATCAAAGCATGAATAGATTTATATTGACCCATCTATAAGATTCTACCGGTTTAGCCGTTTTTAAAATGACAACATTTTGGTGGAAAAATTAGAAATTTGACTAAAGTCTAAGGGAATTGTTATAAAAAAATTTCTATTTTAAAAATTAAAATAGATGTCTATATGATTTTTCAATGAATTCTTAGAAATGTGTTGTTTGAATTAATTTAAAAGTGATATAAAACGGTAAGAATGTTTTTGATATGAGAATGTTCAAATAATGAGTAGAGAGCTTCAAGTAACCGGTGGAGGGTCGTCTCTTCATTTATTTATCTTCATTTTCCTTCACTTCCTCACATCTCAACTATTCATAAATGTAGAGAGACCCTCCACCCCTTCAAATAAGGTAAATAAAGATATAGTTCTAGTCTTTAAGCTTAACAAAAATAAAATAGCATATTAACACAGGCCAAGATTCTCTCATTTTCCCCTCTCATCCTTTAATTTTCATCTCATCTTTTTAATTTCTAATCATCAGATCAAGATTATAATGGTCCCTATTTGATTCACTATACAATATTCTTTTTATTTTGTTTTACTGTTTTTTACTTGTTCATCTTAAATTTTAGCATTTTTAATTTTAATATTTTGTATTTTATTATAATTTAACATTTCAATAACAATTTTATAGGATATTAAATATAAACCATCCAAATTTTAATCTTAATCTAATATAATGATTAAAGAGAAAAAAAAGGGGAAGATGATGAAAAAGGGAAGAAAAAAGAATACGCACCCACTAATATATGGTGCATGTGCATTCAGAGTAAAATAAATATAAAAATATATGAATATAATAGAAAGTATGAATGTTTATGATGAGACATGGATCCCGCTGGCGGAAAGAAAAACGAAAAAAAGGAAAAAAAAAAGAATAAAGAAAGATATGGACCCTAACCTAAGCTACCCATGACATTATATTTTGGTATGTTGGAACGGGAACTTTGGAAATGTTTAATTCAATAATTAATATTAGTTATTATATTTTTTAAATTAAAATATTCGTTTGAATGTGTTCTTCATAAATCAAAATAAGATAGTGAATTAATTCTTTCAGAAACGGATTTTTTTTTATATTTTGGATAAAATATAAATAAGAGAACAAACGCCTGATTAAAAGCATACATTTTTTTTTGGGTTCAAAATTTAAAAAAGAATATTAATTTACTTAAAAAGGAAAAGTTGGTCTCCCACCCATCGAAAAGGCTCAATTAATTAAATTTTCTCGTTGACCAGAAAAGGAGCATCATGTACAAGCGGAACATGTTATACGTTTTTTCTCTCTCATAAATATACTGGAATGAAATGAAGTGAAAAAAACAATAAATTTAGTATGTAGTAAAAATTTCATGCGACAAACTAACAATAGATAAAGAAAAAAAATAAATGCTTTCACAATGAATCTAACTATAATCATAAGATGTAATGATCTAAAATTTTAAAATTTAATAAATTCTCTCTCTTTTAATATTTAATTTATTTATTTTAATTTTAAGATAAATGAAAAATAATAGTTTAATAAAATTGATACTGATTATTTATATGGATATTTAAAATTTAAATTTTATTTAAATTAAATGTTAATTTATTTTTTTTACTGGTAGAAAGTGCTAAAATGTTTTTGCTTTTCAATGATGATGATAGTGGTGGTAAAATAAAAATCTAGGGGGTCTTCGTTTGTAATTTTTCCATCAACTTTTATATATTATTTTTGTTTCTTTCTTCTTTGTCGGTCAGCTACGGACGAGGGAGAGAACTTGAACCTGCATCTGGAAATTTGGCCATCTCAACTCTTCTCTCCACCGTCTAGCTCGTCACCGGTGGTGTGGGTCACCGGAAATATTCTCTTTCCCTTCTGTCCTTCGCTCCTTCTCCTCTGTTCGTTTCTCTATTGTCGGTGTTATTGGAGCTTCTCTTCCGTCTGAGAGCAAGATATATTTTTTTGCTCAGAGCTTCAAACCCTCGATCCAGCCACTGTCCTTTGCTATTCAACATGCTGTTGACGAGAATAGGAGTTCCGCTTACCGTTGCTGTGATGTACGCCCAAAACCACAACGTTGTGGTACACATCGTGAGTTCTTCCCTCCCCTGTTCTGTGTTGAATTTCATTTTTTTTTCCCTTGATCTGTGCTTGCTGTGAATCTCCACTTTTGAGTATGGGTATTTAAATTTTTCTCCTTCCTTGCATTACCGCTGTTCTCACTGGTTCGGTGTGGCTGTGGGCACTATTGTTGGTTCATGATCTTCCACCTCTTCTGTTTCTGTTGATTTCTTCTTCTTTTTTTGACCTTTTCTGTCGAGGCTGAATCTGGGCAGAAGCTTAGAATTTTTCCCCTCATTGAGTCCCCTGTGCGCGCGTGTTTTAATGGTTGATGTTGTAATTTGTTACTCTTTGCTGAATCTAGGTGCGTGTGAGAGAGTGATTAGTGTGAAATTTATATTTGTTTTCTATTCAATGTGCTGTGAATTTATTTGAAGGTAGTTATTGTGCGGTGTAAGCAAGCTAGAATTTTTTTCATGGAAGAAGAGAAAGTAGTGTGGGCTTGAATTGTATTTAAATGATATTAATCTTGTGGAAGGAATGAACTTGGATTGCTTGAATAAGTTATGTATTGATGCTGTATAAATGTTAAAGGAATTGTGGGATGGGATACGAAGGAAGAGCTTAGTATTAGAAATTTGAATATTGGTATCTATAAGGTATTGGATAAAGAGTTTGTTTGGGGAAGTCTTGTTTGTTCATGTTTTTTTTTTTTCTCTCTAAAAATTTCAATAATTCTCATAAAGCATAATTGGTTCAGACGCTAATTACTTGTAAGTTTAATTTGAGTGTTACGAGAGATTTTGTCAATTATGAAGTTAATGTGTTATTAGCTGAATTCTTGAGAGCTGCATGATTAAACAGAGAAGTGAGTATGTAAAGTATTGAATGGATTGAAGAAATTGAGGTTTGGTTTTCTTTGGGTTTATATTGGTTCTTAATGATAAATTGATTTATTGGGAAGCGGCATAAATTTAAGAGTTGGTAATTGAAAATATTTGAACAAGAGATGATCTTTTAATCTATTGAGATAATCAAGTGTGATGAAGGTTTCATGGATTACATGACAATATGAAAGCTAATTATTTTCTATTCTAAAGCTTGGAAAATCATTAAGGAATGTGCTTAAAAGCACATGGTAGGTTTGATAAAAAAATAAGGATGTAGATTTTAAATGACTGGTGGTTTAGGGACAAGTCAAACTTTATCGTGCATTAGGCAAGACATTAGGTTGTTGAATAATTGGTGTAGATTTATTTAGTAGAGTTATTGCGAAAGAAATTTATTGTTATTCTTGTCTAGGTAATAGAGTAGTTAAAGGACAATTGAGAGGTTTATAAGGAACAAATTATTATCTTGGATGCTTATCAGGTAAGTGGATAATGTTTCAATCAACTTATATAACTGCAAAATTCTTTTTATCAAAATATTATTTGTAATAATTTGTAGTTATTAATACATATCTTTTTCTAGCACTGGTACTTGTTGATTAAATTACTTTATCTTTTGAAACTATAAGGTATGGTGAAGAATATTCATATCATGGCATGTACAAGTATTTTTCCTTACGAAATATATGTTCAAGATTTTTGAGATTATTATCAGCTTTGGTAATTTTAGTTACTCAACAAATGCATGCATGGACATTAATTATGAAATTTTATTTTGACAAGTTTTTAGTGTTTAAGTTATTCATACGAGTTTGACTGTAAAAATAAGAATTGTATTTTTATAGTGATGATTTTTTCGCATGTTTGAAAATAAATTTGAAGAGGATTTTATACAAAACATTACTTGTTAATGGCAGTTCCCTTAGCCTTTGGCTCGTCATGTTTATGACTAGCTAGTTCAATTTTTGTGAGTATTGTACTCACGTTTGTTATTCATGGGTCTTGTACCTATATTTGTTTTCGTGGTTTTAAGCCACGTTTGGTTAGCATTACCCTCGTGAATTGGGTGTTCATGTTTATTTCGTAGCTTCGGTTGCGTTTGGTTTCTTACCCTTATGGATTGTGTCCGCATTTGTTTTCGTAACATAAGTCGTGTTTAGTTATTTGTCTTTGTAGACTGTGTGTCTACGTCTGTGAATTGTTCTACTAAATCCCCTAAAATATAAATTTTTAATTCATTGATAATTTCACAATCTAATAGTTTTTAATTTGCAAATGTTGTTATTTTCATTTATGTATTTATTTAATTATTTTGACTTCTTAAGATCAAATATTAAAACTGCCTTGTGTTTATAGATTTTAAGTTCTTGATATTAAAGTTATATAGAGCTTTTATTCTGTGCTTACAAATTCATTTATATTGAATTACTTTTTCTTTAATTTATGTAACTATTATATTTTATTTGCTTTAATTTTGCAAAATCTTATGGTTGGGACGTTATTCATTGAAAAATTATTTTGGTCTTAGATAGTATAGCCGACACTGTAGTCCTGCTTTTCTATGAGGGAAGTTTTGCTGAGCTTGGCGGAGATTTGTTCTGTAAAGATTTTCTATTGATGTAAATATGAATTTATGAATTGTGTCATGAAAATATTATTAGGTGCTTTATATAGACTGTAGTTAGGGTTCTAATTTTCTTTGTTATATTGTCTATCTGTTGCTGAGGAGTAGAGTTCCATATTGTGGGGGTATAAATTGTAAAATTTTTGTTGTAAAAATTTTGAGAGATCTTACTTATATGGAAGGTGCTGTCAAATTTTTACAAAAAAGTTAATATTTTGGTCACTTGAAAAGTAAAATCAGATGTAGACAATTAGGCAGATAATAAGACAAATGTATTAATTTAAAACTTTTCTTAATTAAGGTTTTAAGGGATGAGTGTTTAAGTGTGCATCCCATGCCAATCACTCATATTTTGGAGTGTAACACAAGATTTCAACGAATACAATTTTCTACCTTTGTGCATCAGAAGTTAAAATTTTTGAGGCCCTTTTTTTTAAATCAAAGGCATGTTTAAAGTAAATTAAAATCAATAATATTTTATATGAGATTTTTCTTACAGAACATATTTTGTAGTTGACTAAACTAATAGATATAAATATTATTATATATGAGAAAATAACAATAATTTTTTTTGAATTATATAAATAATATTTTAACCGAAATGTCATAATCTCTTGAAATCTTTAAAATGATTTCTTTATCATTAGAGAGTTAATATAAAAGATTAAGTTATCCTTAATTGAAATAAAAATTTTAAACTTCAAAATAGATACTTCGCGCACTTAATTCGTAAATTTTGTTTTAAAATTCATAATTTTTTTTAAATAGCAAAAATTCAACAGTAATTTACAATTTTACATTTAAAATTTTGATATTTTTTAACTGTTGCAAATATCAATTATCATTTAAAAATTTTACTGAAAGATTCACAACATTTATTTTTAAATTCACAAGAATTCAATAGCAATTTGTAAGTTCATATTTGAAATTATGATAGTCCTTAAGTGTTGCAAAAATCAATTGTTATTTACAAGTTTTATTTTAATATTTACAATTTTTCTTACTAAAATTGTAAAAATTCAACAGCAATTTGCAAATTCATAAGTATCTGTTTTGAGGTTAAATTTTTATATTAATCAAGGGCAATTTAATCTTTTATATTAATTTTTTAATGATAGAAAAGTCTTTAAAAATTTTAGAAAAATTATAACACTTTGAAAGACTAAAATGTTATTTTTTCATTTTATATATATATATATATATATCTGACAAATGATAACTTACATACAGAGTTTTCAGTTTTGACTTACAGTTTATTCAGACTACACCCTCGGTACTTTAAGCAGCAGAAAATTACATATAATACATGAACACAAAATAAGGGACAAATATTTCGACATCGGTATGCAACCAGATAAACTACTTAATCATCAGTTTGATCCTCTCATGATAAGTTGTCCAATTGTGATGGTGTCAAACTGGTCCACCAAATCTGTTTTTGGCGTCATAAGCTTCATTGCTACTTGGTCCATGGTTGGACGAGACCATGGATTCTTATCCAAGCAAGCAAATGCCAATGTTGCTATCAACATTAACTCCTCAACAACTGATCCTGTCGGTCGAGGAAGCCTTCCATCCAATACATCCTTCAATGGCAAGTCATAGGTTGTTGGTGTCTCTGTCAAAGAAGCAATGAGCTCTCCAGGATGCATTCCCATTATGATCTCCAAAGTCAACACTCCAAAGCTGTAAACATCACACTTCTCATTCGCCTTGATAATATAAGTAATCTCTGCATAAACAAGTTTAGGGTAATGATATGAAGTAGAAAACATTAACTGGGTTAAATAATATTGTAATGAAGTAAGTGTAGTATTTTCTAACCTGGTGCAGCATAACCAAATGTACCTACGAAAGAGGTTATATTTTCTGACTCAGGATTTAGAAACTTTGCTGTTCCAAAATCAATGATCCGAGCTTCTTGATATTCTGAATCTAAAACAACATTCTTGCTTGATATGTCTCGATGAACGATAGGAATTGAACAGCCATGATGCATATGGAATAAAGCATTGGCCACACTTTTAACAAGGTTCATCCTCCTATTCCAATCAAGCTTAATGGCTTGTTCATCATTCTTTAGTATGTTATTCAAGCTGCCACCTTCCAAGAACTCATAAACCAAAAATGAGGAGCGTGAATTTGAGCAGAACCCATATAACTTGACAATGTTACGATGTTTGATTTCTGTCAGAGCTCGAATTTCACTTGTGAAAGCTGTTAGGTTGGAGATTTCCCCACTTGGCATTGAATGAAGCTTCTTCACAGCAACAACCAGACCTGTGGGCAACTCAGCCCTATAAATACTTCCTTGACCTCCCTTCCCAACAAGATATCTATCATCAAAATTCTTCGTGGCTTCTACAATATCTTGATACAATAATTCTCTTTCAGAACTCCAAACAAGAAAAAGATCTTCTTGGACTTCCTCGTCTTTGTTTCTTGCTTTCCTTGCCCCATGACAGAAAAAGGAAAACACTCCAGTCCCTACTAGCAATACTACAACACCCAATGGGAGGAATATTATCAGTAACTTGACTTTTTCACTCTTTTTATTACCATGTACATTATTTTGGGAAGAATCACTGCAAAGATGTAAACCAGTGACATTGCCACACAAGCCTTTGTTATTCTTCAATGCCGCAAATGTTTGGAAGGCATGATTGTTTGGAATAGGACCTTCTAATTGGTTATATGATATGTCAACAGAAGTCAAGGCTGATCTTCCATTAAAAGCGGATGAAATCTCGCCAGAGAAACTATTATGCGAGAGGTTCAATATTTGCAACTTGGGTAATGCTCCAATTGTTTTTGGTATTTTTCCACTCAAGAAATTTTCACTAAGATCAAGTTTTTCAAGATCTTGGAGCTGACCAAACTGCAGGGAAATGGGACCCTCAAATTTGTTTTTGCTCATGTTCAATTCCCTCAACATTTTCATGCCCCAAACCTTTTCTGTGATGGGACCACTGAATTTATTTCCTTCTAGCTCTAAAATTTCAAGATGATTCAATGATCCTATTTCTGGGGGAATCTTGCCTAAAAGTTGATTGTGGCTTAAAGAAAGTTTACTCAATGAGGTCAACTTCAACAAATTTGTTGGAATTTCTCCAACAAGATGATTTGAAGACAGGTCAAGTTCAAAAAGATTTGTTGCCCCCCCTATTCCTGAAGGTATCCTCCCAGAAATATTGTTGCTAGATATCTTGAACTGTGAGAGACTAGGACACTTGCCCCACGTGGATGAAAGATGGCCATAAAGTTTATTGCCACTTAAGTCAATGAATTCCAAATTTGGATATGTACCAAAAGAATTACTTATATCTTGAACCAATTGGTTATCGTTAAGTGTAAGTCTTTCAAGCTTAGAACAATTCTTCAAGCTTGTTGGAATCAGACCAGTGAAACTATTGCCAGGTGCTCCAAAACGCTCTAACATGCCACCAAGGCAAATATGTTGTGGCAAATGGCCAATGAAATTATTCCAACCCAGTTGTAAGTCGACCAAACTAGTAAGATTATCTACTTCTGGAGGAATGTGACCACTAAGGTTGTTGTGAAACAACACAAGCTGAGTGAGAGCTGTCAAATTTCCTATGGTGGATGGAATAGGTCCAGAAAGATTGTTCTCTCCAAGGTCAAGTATTTCTAAATTGACCAAGTTTCCAATAGAGGCAGGAATTGACCCAGATAGATTGTTTGTGTACAAATACAAACTTTGGAGATTTGTCAAGTTTCCTATGAAAGATGGGATTGGACCATAGAGATTATTATCTAGCAATTGAATATGCACAAGAGAATGTAGTTTCCCAAGTTCATTGGGAATACGACCAGTAAGACTGCAATCATAGAGGTATAGTTGCTTTAACTTCCTCAAGTTTCCTATTGCAGAAGGGATTTCACCAGATTGAAAAGGATTTTCTGACAAATCAAGTTGTGTGAGATTGCTAAGCCTACCAATCTCTTGAGGAATGGAACCAGAGAGTCTGTTAAGTCCCAGAATAAGATCAGTCAGACTACTCAAGTTCCCAATCTCAGGTGGAATAGAATCAGTGAGATTACAGACACTAATATCAAGCAAATTTAGAGTGCTCAGTGACCCTATTTCTTTAGGGATGGGACCCTCTAAGAAATTGTGAGACATGATCATTCTAAGAATACTGGACAAGTTACTAACTTGGGGCGGAATATTTCCAGAGAAGTTGTTGTAACTTATATCGAAGTGTACGAGGTTTGGTAAGGAGGAGAAGCTGAGATTTTGGAGCCTACCTTGAAGTCCAAGACTTGTAAGATTGATCATGGAAACTGAGAAGGACGACTCGTCGCATGAAATCCCTGTCCAGTTTCTGCATGGACTGGTACCATTCTTCCATGAAGACAAGATGGTTTGGCTGTCAAGTTTAAGGCTGGCTTTCCACTTCAACAGAGCACTTGCTTCGCCGTGAGGTTCTTCAGTGGCAGATGAGACACAGAAGAAGATGCAGAGAATACACCATAAAGCTGTAAGCTTAGTGGAATCACTTTCAGACATGGTTTCTGGGTATTGGAATTGTTGAATCAAGAAAGGTTCAAAGACTGAATTGATGGCTCTAAATGGTTCGTTTTAAGGTCTTAAATAGGAGGGAAAAGTTAAATTACTGTTACTCTTTTATGCAGGAGTGTAATAATAAGGAAAAATTACAATTGAGGATATTGGAAAGCTACTGATAACAATTAAAGACCAGAAAATTGTGAAATTAAATTTATGGACTATGGTTCTTTTTTTTTTATATAGTTTTAAAAAATAATCTTTTGACTAAAACATGCTTACCTCTCTTTGAAATGTACAATTACTTAGGGTACAGTGTCTTTTTGTTAAAAGATTAATTATTTTTTTAACTTATGAATGACCATGGTCCTTAAATTTAATTTCAGGATTTCATGGTTCCTAATCATTATTACTTATCTTCTTAGGTCTTTAATTGTGATTTTCCCAAATAATAAAGTTAGGTAGAGGATAAGAACAAAGAAAAAAAGAATGGGTTGGAAGGCAAAGGCCATACACTTCATAAAGTTGTAGGAAATATTTGGACACCAATGTGAACAACATATGCTCTGGTCTACTTTCCAGTTGATGTTTCACATCATATATTTTTCTTTAGATATTAAAGTGTGCTTGAGACAAAGACATGTTACATGAGAGTATTAATTGAAATGGTGAGATTACGAACCTCGTAATCATTAAGAAAAAAAGGGGCCATGCAGAAACACTCTGATCTTTGGACTATTTCCTTCTTCTTCTTCTTGTGTGTGTGTGTGTGTGTGTGTGTGGCTATACAGAAACACCACAAGACTATTTGTTTTTGCACTCTGGAAAAAAGAAGCATATATTCATAGTTTATTAACTTAACACCCTTTACATGCAGAAACATGGTAATCTTCGGGCCATTAAGTTAAGTGGTAAGGAATTTTCGCATCATTTACATAAGATTTTAAATTTAAATTCGAGTCTTGTAGTGGGAAAGGTACATTTTGGAAGAGCTTTAAGCCTAACCGGACAAAAATATGGATTAATAGACGTTGGAAAGTGGGTAAAAGTCTAAAAGAGAAGCAGAATTAAGAGGGATTAAACAAATGAAAATGACAAAGAAGAAAGAAAAATTAGTGAACGATGATACTCCTTTTATTAAAAAATTTAAGGTATTTTTTAAAAAATTAAATGTTTAAAAATGTAAAGTATTTTTAGTCTTTCGAGATATAATTATTACTTTTTTTCAAAAGTAATCCTATTAATAGTGACTTTATATTTAATGTAGGGTGTTTAATAGGGTAAATATAAAAGGATAAGGTTAATTTAAAAGTAGGTAACTAATTTTTTAAAAATGAGATTCGATTAAAAATATTTTATATTTTTCAATGAAGGGAGTATAAGAAATTTAACATGAAAAAACCTCTAATATAAGGGGTAAAAAACAAACATTAAATTTCCCATGTTATATCACTGCTTATCTATCATTTTCAATTGTTTAATATTATTTTTTAAATTGCACTTATCTTTTACATGTTTCCCAACAATGGTTAGGATGTCCGTTTGAATAGACTTAAATTGATGTTAAAAGCCTTACATTGAATAAATTGAACTTAATAATTAATACTTTCTTTGTCTCAGTTTATAAGGCAATATAATTTCATATAAAACTACATACTAATAAAACTATTTAAATATATTTTATAATCTTATTTTTCAAAACAAACATAAGTTTTTAAAAGTGTCCTTCTCAAAGAGAGAGATCAATATAATAAGAAGGGAAGGGTAACATTAAAAAATGTATATTTAATGAATTTTTTTATCAAATTATTTTATATTTTGAAACACCCAATTATTTTTAAAATTATTTTATAAATTGGGACTGGTGGAGTATATAATAAAACAAAAAGACTCAAAAACATGAGTATCGAAATTTTAAGTTAAAATATTATGAACCCTAATCCTCAGAACCCATTAATTCTCTTCCCGTCTATGGAGGGTTGCTTCCCATTATTAATAATAATAGATAATATCGGATCCTTTATTAAAAGTAAAAGTATTGGGATAAACATATCCTTTTACGTGGTCCTAATATTCACGCAAAAAATTGACATTGAGTAGACTCTTTTTTTTTTTTTCTTTTTTCTAGTTAACAACCACATTTCCAAATCTGTTTCACACGTTATTGACTTATTTTAAAATTTACGTATGAAAATAAATGTTGTTTCAAACAAATTTTCCAAAAAAATAAAATAAAAAATAACCTTCAAAAATCTTGACCACGTACGAAAGAGTCAAGCCTTCCTTGAACAACCCAATGAATAATTTTAAATTTTGCCTAACAACTTCTTTTTTATCTTTCCCCAAAAGTCCATAACAACCATCAATGATTATTATAACTTAAATCTTAATGACCAATTCTAGCTTAGCTTTCATTAGTGGCACTTTCCGGATTCGTGAAATCTGCGTTTCTTTCACACCATTTCTCCCATAATTCACACCCATTTTAAAAAGCATATATTAGTTTAATGAAAAAGGCGTCCAGCAATAATAAATAAAATCTAATCGACTAAAAGACTGCTTAGGGTTTAGGGCACAATCATGACAATAGGTAAATGATAAGAGTATCGGATTCTTGTGTATGAAAACCAAGATAAATACATTTACAATCCTGTATATATTTCGAAGAACAACATTGAGATAGTTGGATAGAGGTAAAAATAAAAAAGGGTTAATAATAGGGGTGAGCAAAATCAAACCAAAATCAAAGATCAAATCAAATTGAATTGAATTTAGTTTATTTGATTCGGTTTATTTAGTTATACGGTTCAATTTGATTTTCTTTCAATAAAAATTTTGGTTGATCACTTCGATTCAGTTTGAGAATTATTAAACCAAATAAATTAAACCGACCAAATTATATTTTTTTTCTTTTCATATTTTTAAAAAGGTGATTAAATTTTCATCTAGATGAGTAAAAAATATCTTTTTACCACTTGAAGTAGTAAATTTTTTTGCTTAATGTGATATTCTATTTTTTTTATTTCTATAATTTAATTTTTTAATATAAGAGTACTGAGTTTTATTAATTTTTTCATAAATTATAGTATAAGATTGTTATATTTTTGTTGGGCCTTCAACACCCAAAAAAAAATAAATAGAAGAATATATAAATAATAAGACTTCATAGACCCAAATAAAAGCTTATGAACTGAATAGACCGATCGAATCGAACCATTATAATTTAATTCGGCTTTAATTCAGTTTGATCAAGTATTTTGATTCATTCGATCCAAACATTTTGTGTAATTCGATCAATCTATTTTGGAGAAATTGAAACCGAATTTATTGAATTCTCATCCCTATTTAATAATAAAGGATTTAGATTATCGAAGATTATAGATCATTTTATATTAAGCCTCTAAAGTTGGTGAAGTTAATGTAAATATTGGGATAGATTTTATAGAGCACTTGATATATCATAAACTTACCTCGCATATCAAGTTGAGAGGACTTTAACAAGACTCAAACTAGTCCAAATCGAACAGGACAATGGGACACCTTTAGGTAAAAGTTATATCATCAATACTACTATATTCTTAGAGCTTGCACTAGTACTTGAGATGTCTGATTAAACTAATACAACCTCAATTGTTACTTGTTCAAAGTTCATTAGGATACTTTTGATTGGCTAATGTGAGAATTTGAAGCTTGCCCATCATTTTGCTAGGGATGAGATAGAGATATGCCCCTGGCCCTCACATAATTAATTTAGGCTTGATCTCTCAATTTTAAGGGGAAAAACAATACATTTGGGCTATTGTTTGAATGTTTGATCTTTAATAGGAATTATGTTTAAAAGACTAAATCATCCTTTAATTAAACTTGAATAGAATATTGTGAACCTTAAGCTGTGCCTAAGTTTAGGAAGTATAGAAAAAAAAATAATACTTTAAACAATTAAAATCCTTGTATTAAGGACCATGATGAAGGTTATAATAAGGATTTGAGGGAGTAACACATTAAAGAATAGGGTGACATTTCCAAAGATTTTGTGACCAAGTAACAAAGCTGTAAAAGTGTGTCTCTTTATCTCAATCAAGCAAACACAAAGGAAATTAGAAACAAAATTATCTTGCTTTTAACTTCTTTACTAACCTATTATCTTTTGAAATTGCTTATATATGCTTTAAACAGACCAAAGTTTCTCATGTAAATAATAAAGAAACATCTTATATTCCTTCTGGGAATTTGGAGTCCGAAGAACATACCTCCGTTGACGGGGCCGGATTACTACAATGAATCTAGGACTTATTAGTTTCACAGTAGATACACCAGACTTTTGGTCAATTTCAAAATGCATGAACCACGCATCCTTTATCTCGCACTATCAATGTTTGGGTAGTTATATAATTGATAAATTGTAATTTTATATATTTTTATCTTTTTAATTTAAACTTTTTAATATTTATTTGAGACTAATTGAGTTTAATTGGATATTATTTGAATTAACCAATGTTTAACTTTTAAATTTTAACTATTTAAATTTTGAATTTTAAATTATAAATGATCACTTTAATATTTTTGTATACTTGCTATTTGATTTTATTTTATTTATACAGATTTTATTTATTTAATTTAAAAGATATTAATGAAAATTATTTTGGATTAAAAAATGCAGGTATACTTAAAGATTAAGTCAATAATTAAATTTTAAAAACTTTATTTATGTTTATTTTAATTGTTTTTAATGTAGTTTTCAATTAAGATTTTGTTATTTTTATTAAAATATTATGTTTTTGGTGCACATGGGACGCTCCGCTTTCTTGGAATAAAAAGCAAAGAATAGAAACAGAGTGCAGAGACTTGTTCAAAAAAAGAAACAGAGTGCAGAGGGAGCAGGATTTCTAAAAAAACAGAGAGGCGGAATAGGATATGCTCTGCGTCATCTCCTTTGTTTCACTTTCAGTGATGGCTTCTATCTTCTTATACTGTACTGTTTGATTTGTAGTTTTACAAAGAACTAATTTTATTGATGTCATCAATTACAAACATGACCTT